CAAATTACAAAAATAAATCAATAAAAGAATGTTTTTTGAAAAGTGGAAATAAAAATAATAAATATAACAGTAATTAATTTAATACTATTTTTTAATTTTATTTTTTAATTTTATTTTTTTTTATCATTTTTATTTTTGATTTATTTTTTAAAACAATTTTTTAAGTTGTTTTTTTAAATGATTTTTTCTTTTTTTTGCTTTTAAAGTGACATTTAATTTAAAGTGACTTTTTCTTTTTTCTGCACACAACGACATTCCTACTGTGCACCTTTATTTGCGCACTTTTCTTTTTCCTTTGCTTTTAAATGTTGCTTTAAATTAAATGTCACTTTAAATGTCGCCTTAAAAGTACAAAAGCAAAATAAATAAATAAATTTAAAAAAAATAATAATTTAAAAAGCAAAAAAATAATACTACATTAATTATTATTGTATTTATTCTTCTTTTAATTTCCACTTTTATCTTTTTTTATACTTTTATTGATTTATTTTTGTAATTTGGCACTCTCACTACTCTATATGGTTGGTAATATATACTATAATCCCTGCATTTGTCATTTAAAATAGTAGTAATAATAATAATTAATAAATAAAATTAGAAGGCAACATCATCGACTCAAAAACAGACTCACTGGAGGATCTGGATCTGACTGGAGTACGACTGGTATTCCATCACCATCCTCTTCAGGTCCTCGGTTTCTCTGTAAAAAACAAAACACTCACATTGTGTTGGACGCTGGATCATATCTTCTGTACATCAGACATGAGCTGAGCTGAAGGCTGCAGAATTCATCTAATAATAATGATGATCACGATTTTGGATTCTCACAATTAAGTGAAAGTCATCAAACGTAATATTCACATGTAAAACGTGCAACTTTCATAGAAAACTTGTAAAGCAGCTGATAAAAAAAATAACTTGGTTCCTTTGGTAAATCGGATGTTAGAACGCCTTTTTTTCCATTTTTTTCAGAGTAATTTTTGGTCACACACCTATCTATGTTGTGTGTGCTGCAGTAAATGAGTGGAACATCTGTAGACTGTAGCGTCTAATGATAAGCAAATGTTCAGCAAGGGGGGTGCTTAGGATACAGCTTCACCTTGGCTCTAAGAGATTTTTAAAGATTTTATTCATTAGCAGGAAAGCAGCTCAACATTAAAGTGAAAGCAGTGCTCTATGTATTTAAATGTAATCAAAACAATTGTGGGTATTATTTAGGTGATAATTGTGCAGCCCTAACTTAGATGGGCTTTACCTTTCATGTTGGGCTTTCTGATCTGCGTACATGTTCTTCAGTTTGTCCAGCTCTGAGTGCAGGATGGCGATGTTTGTCTGGGCCTGCACGAGAGAGCCTCGCAGCTGCTCGTTTTCCTGTGAGGAGATTCAGTCAGTTAAAAAAAATCCATACAACACGCATGTGATTTGTTCAACTAAAATGACTTACCTGTGAGAGATCGCCGATTTGTCTGTTCAGCGCCATCACCTCTTCCTTCGTCTGGTTTAGCTGAGACTCCTCTTGGCTCTTGACAAGAAACATTTAGTTGAACAGTTTACGTTGCTGGTGATAAAATATGTTTTAGCACAGAAAAGAACGGCTGCAGGCAAAGTGTCAGCAGAAAAACTTAAAGATCTGCTGTCCCATCTATCTGCAGAAAGCATGGATCTCCTAAATTAGCTTTTTAAAGAACTGACCAAGACTTAAAGTGAGTGGGACATTTTACAGTATAATAGAAATTTGTCAGTGCTCCCTGTTTCTTACTTCCCTCAAACACATCTTAAGCATGGGTATCGTGTGATCTCTTGGAATTTACTAGTCAACATAAACACAAATACCAACATACTGGCATTAAGTTAACAGTGGCCCACACTGTGTGCTGGATCAGCTGATTCAGATTTAGTCTGGCCTTCATGTACACCATCACCATCTACAGGACGAGGAAAGCAAGTACCACAAGTTGTTCCAAGTGGAGACATCCAGAACTACTTCTCTCTTCTGTTGTTCAAAAACATGTATGTGAAGAACTCCACAAAGCATGTAACTTCAGTACGCCTCCTTCTCAGTACAAGAACACAATTGCATATTTCAACTCTAAATTCTCATGTTCCTGCCGGTGGAAATGCTCTGGCTAAATGCTTTTGTGCACTGTGGTGTATGTGGACCTGCTGAGGTGTGGTTAATGTATAGCACAGCATCAGATTTCATCTATAGAAGCACAATGCAGATGGAACAGGATTCTCAGCTCAAGGACAGCATGTTTTTATAGCACAAAAAGGGCAGGAACACGCTGCTTAATTCACAGCCTTTTGTTGAGCAAGCAGACTGTTTCAACACTCCTGTGCCTTCCTGAGTAACTGCACAGCACAGATTAGTCTTATTCTCAATGTATTCTTTAGTTATAAATCTGAAAGTTCTTGCATTGTTTTGTTTACTCCGTGGTGTGGAGATAGAGAGCAGCATTGTTGACGGATATAGGAGGGAGCTGCCATCTTTGTGACATTAAGTATAATTTCTGTCAACAGATTAACTGTGGAAATGGCTTTTCAAAAAGGTATGTGACTTGAAAAGGGAATGATCATGTCTTTCTTTAACCTGTTGGTCACTATCAACAGTTGTCACATGCACAGGAAATTTGTCAGACAGGAAATCTGTCAGACAAACACACTGCGTGAGCTGACAGATCTTAGTCCTTACATGCTGTGTATGAAGCCACTGTGACCAACCGTAACACCAAGTTTCAGATATTTTAGATGAGGTTTGTATTAGCTCCACTGTGGCATACAGATGAGCTACATTAAGCACATGCAGATGCTCTGTTGCTGCTGTATTTGTGTAATAAAGCTTTCAAAACTGGAGGCTACTGTGACAATGATGGCCCTCTTTTTTTTAAAACAAGATTTTTGCAATCAGTTATTGCACGTGTTAAAACACAAAATCTCCCCATGCAAAAACCAGCAGAGATGGCAGAAGTACTCACATTCTTTACTTAAGTAGAAGTAGAGACACTTGTGTAAAAGTAGACTCTGGTAAAAGTAGAGGTTTAGAAATTTATTATTTAAAAAAAGTTCTAAGCAAACAAAACATGATTGTTTTCATCCTTTAAGAACCTGCACAGTGCTGGTGCAGAGAAAAACATCACTGGACAGTTTTCCATTTCAGCAACATTATAAACATTAAACATTATAATCAACATGGAAACACTCGTCTCTTCAAGACCAACAAAAAATTGTATTAAGCCTCAGCAGAAGCTGGTTCTCAAAGTTCTCTGAATGAAGGCGGACCCTTCTGGATCTGAAAATCAGTCCTGTAGTGCTATAACGCCTCTCGCAGGCAGCTGAGGCAGGCAGTGGTGTGTTGAGCGTCAGGGACAAATTGCACAGAAGTTGAAACAACTAACGAGCCAGTTTAGAGAATGTAAGGAGTAGAAAGTCCAGATATTTGTGTTCAAATGTAGGGATTAAAAGTAAAAAGTCGTCAGAAAAATTAATACTCAAGTAAAGTACAGATACGTGCAAAATCTACTTAAGTACAGTAACAAAGTATTTGTACTTTGTTACTTCCCACCTCTGAAAACCAGCAGTTAAAGATAAAAATGCTGCAGTGAAAATCCCTCATGTCGTGTGGCAGAAAAGCAGGCAGGACAGGAAACAGCATGTGGCTGGGTTGTGAGCTTTGGCTGTTAGAATGGCTCATGGGCACATAAAGCAGTGGTCTTTCAAACTGGCTGTGCACCAGACGGTCTTGTGATTTTGCAGGTCAAACTTCAATCAGATTTAATTCTGGCCAGAACTAATGAGGCGGCGTCTATTCACAACCAGAGGAACAGGTCTTGCCCTGTTCCTCATTTAAATTAATGCCGAGTACATCTCTGACTGATCGCACTTTAAAGCCCCGTTCACGCTGTTGGTCTTCTGTACATACACTTCTAACTGTGCATCTATACAAGCTGTGTGTGGTACGTATTCTAATAAAAAAAAAAAACATAGTATGCTTAAAGCAGAACAAGCCTTGGAAACACATCCATGCCCAGTTGGCATATTCATCTGTCTTAATCTTACTTTCCCTCTGAATTGTCACATCTCTCTCCTCCGTGTCCGAGGTTATTTGCTATTCTGAGTTTTTCTGTGTACTTTTATCCAGCCTGCAAACACGCACCACGACTCTCTCGATGTATAGCTAAACAAAACGGTGTCTTTTTAGTTTACCATTTTTCTGCAAGAATGGAGAAGCAAAATGTGATCACAAGGGGTCACTGGAGACATGTTTGAGATGCATGCTGCTGCCTTGAGTGAACTGCCTCCTTTCTTAGCTTGATCTTGACATATTCTGGATATTTTGTGCATAAAATACAGTTTGTGGATGCAAGATACTACAGATTCTTATGTGCCCTTTGTTTAGAAATGTCAGGAATTTAAACATTTCATCTGTCGGTCTGGCTCATCATGCTTTTCAAGAAATGAAGCTGCAGCTATACATACAGCTGTCTTTCAGGTACAGTGGCTTTTGAAATGTGTTTTGTCTGTGAACACCTACTTTCAGCAGTCTGTCCACTGCGGCATTCAGGTCTGCAACCTCGTTCTCATGCTTTCTCTGCATGGTAGCCGTAATTCCTTCCATTTTCTTCCGCTCCTACAAACACGAAACCAAAGCAGTTAGAGGTGCAGACCGGCTCGGGCCATCAAGAGGGGCTTTCATCTGACTTTACAGAGGCTCTTTGTGAAGAGACATGTAACCTGCTGCTGAGTGCCGCACCAAAAAATGTGCAAGTAGCTCACATAAAAGAATGTGTACCAACTTTTCACTTCAGTGCGACATGAATATATGCTATTCTACATATATGCTTTTTATTATGGGTAAGTCATCTAGCTTCTTATACTTAACTTAGAATTTCTAACAAATGTCAGAGTGAATCCCAGAAACAACTGTCCACTATAAATCCTGTAGGTATCCCACTCACCTCCTCTCTCACCCTCTCCTCTGTTCGAGCAAGTTGTTGTTGTATATCGTCCTCCAGTTCTGCCAGCTGACTGTTGTTTAACTCCTCGGCTCTGTTTGAACAGAAAAGTGCGTTCACATTTTCAGCTGGCAGCCTCACAACTGCTCCATCGAAGTCCAAAAGATTAACACACGGCTAGAATAGAAGTACATTTACCTACTATCCATGTGACAAATCTACCAAGTTCAAACGTGCTGCAGTTGTGGCTGCTCTGCTGCTATCAAACAACACATGAACCAACCGGAGTCGAAGGAGGGGCTGACTTTGAAAAGCAGATTCCACAGGTGTGCTGATCTTTGAAAGGGTGATTTCCTAATTAGATGCTAAAGACATTTAGTTTAGTTTTATGGATAAAATTTTAACATTTATTTCAAACATAGTCAAAACAGACAGGAATTCCCAGTTTACAAAAAGGTTTAAATAAAAGGGCAGGGCAGCACATTTAAGTCTTCCTACTTCCTTGAAGAAAGCATGTCCCCTTCCTCATGCCTTGCACTTACTGAACCACAGAAAGACAAACAAAAAGCTCAGACATACAGTCTTTTCCCACGTGTAGGACTGAAATTCAGTAGTTGATTAAATGTACTTTGTGAGGGATCACCTTACAGGTTTGAAAGGAAACTAATATCTTCCTTAAGCCTTTAAGATAGAAAAACTACGCAGTCAGTGTTCAGCTTGGATATCAGTAAGCACAGTGACAAGTCTTAAAGGGATATTACAGTCCAGTTTCTTTCTTACTGCTGCTGTGCACACAGAACTGACTCAAGGATAATACAGCTGTACGCAAAGGCCTCGGCTAACAACAGTTTTTAAAACTCGATCCCTGCAGTGATCAGATGTTATTACAGTTTTATTGTTTGTTTCACAAAAGTTTGTTGAAAGAATCAAACAGATTTTGGCTTGTGCAAAAGTCTGACTTCATTGCCCTTTTGGGCCTTAATTGACTCATTAGGATTTTTGAGAATTCTTCTTTCCTTGTGATGGCACACAACAAGCATTGGGCTTCTCTAAGCAGCTGACTGAGGAGCTGAACACAAAGCTAACTGATGTCTACAAAGCAGTGGAAGGCTATAAAAGACATCAAAGTGCTTCAAACTAGCAATTTCCATTGTCTAGAATGTAATTTTGAAATGGCAGTTTAGGAAAACTGAATGTCGTGACACGATCAAACCTGAAAAACCAAGAAAACCAATAGAACTGTTTGTATGCTGGGCAGTAAGGAAATGGAAAAACCCCCATGTAGGTGATGCAGGAAGGTTTGGCTGACATGGGAGTGGTGGTTTACTGCTCCACTGTGCATGAAAAGAGTCCTCAAAAGGAAATCTCACCTGGGATCTCCTCACAAAAGTCAGCGTGTGAACCATGCAAAGCAACGTGTGGAGTCTGCAACAAGTGCTTTGGACTGAGAAAGTTTCTTAAAAAAAAAAAAAAAAAGAGCTCCATGGCCACAATCATCAGCTAAGTTTGGGGGAAAGGGAGCAGCGTTTGATTCATCTGCCAACTGTTATGTGTGGGGGCAGAAATATTCGGCATTGGGGTTGTGTGGCAGCCAGTGGCACAGGAAACACTGAACAGATGGACAGATACCACTAAAGAGCAAATTCTGGATGCAAATGTCATGCAGTCTTTCAAGCAATTGAACTTGAAAGGAAGCTGGCTTTCTACAACAGGCCAGTGATCCAAAGCAAACCTCAAGATCCACCACAAATTACATCAAGAAATGCAAACTGAAGCTTCTGGAAAGACCCTTACAGTCTGCTGACTTACACACCAAGACTGAAGAACTGTGGGTAGAGCTTAAACATGTTGCGCCTGCAAGATGGCCGGAAAATAACTCAGAACTTGAAGTGATCTTCTGGGAAGAGTGGGTGAAAATTCACACAGACTCTTAGCTGGATTCAAAAAGTGCTTGCAAGTTGTGATATCCGCCAAAAAAAAAGGATAGAAGGGGGGTATCGACATTGTTGAGTAAACTGGCGCTATTTGGGATTTAATTTATACTATTTTAAAAGCACAACTTGACATCCAAGACAAAGAGTGTGTTGTGGACAACCTCTTGGGCACCCCATTTATACTGATGTATGAGCAATGTCCAATTCCGAATCCCACAAGTGTCTCTGTCTATTTGAGTATAATGGCTGAGGAGCCCGCTGACAGATGGCATAATAAACTGCAGCAACACCAAAGGAGCTCAGTGGCAGTTATGTCTGCATTAATCAGATTTTTTGATATCAAAATGGATTAGATTTCTGCCCAAATCAATAAGAATGGCCACCAAAATCTGCTGGTGGAGCTCAGTTTGGGAAGGATTCATTGTTCATTAGCAACCAGCGGAAGCTATTTGAAGAAAAAAGTTAGTGAGAGACTCACTGAACACTACTCGTGCAGACTTACAAAATCAGTGATGAGCTGTTCTATTTTCTCAGAAGTCTGGTGGAGGCAAAAACAAAAAAGGGGGAGAAAAAAAAACCCTGAATTTCCACTTGAGGCACGACTCCAAGGAAACGGTGCTGCGGCTCCATGTTTGTTGGATGTGCAATCGGGCAAGTCAGCTGTGTATCAATATTGTTTTCCAAGACAAAAAAAAAAAAAAAATCAATAAATGCAGCCTTCAGTCAAGCAGTTTATTTACTCCAGAAGCCACTGGGTTTAACTCTATTCATCCACAAGAGGGCAGCAGGTCACTGCTGGATGCAGTGAAAACAAGGTTTGATTTTAAACAGGACAACCAGGACTTTTTTTAAAAAATTTTAAATTGTAAAGATGAGGACTCACTTTTCAATTAGGTGACGTTGTGTCTCTTTTGAATGCCACGACCGAATGTCATCCCTCCTCATTTACACATTAAATTCACAGAAACCTTGTGTCATCATCATCATTTGCACTTATGCAACATGATGACGATGACTTGCGGCGTACACAACTGGCCATTGCTTACATTCCGTGTCTTTATCACACATATTTTAATCATTCATTTTCGTTCCGTATCACAGGTCATTCGTCGAGAAGTCTACTGATCGGACAAGAAAACTTTTTCCTTACCGCCTCAGACTAGTTTCCAGCTGTTCACACTCCATTCTGTTGTCCAGGCTTTGATTGATCAGAGCGTGGATGATTTCTTCATACGGCTGCAGCAGAGTCATGTTTGCAGAGGAGTGAATGGCCTGGTAAAGATCAGCCAGCTGCTCCCTGAGACTGTAGAGAAGAGAACACATATTTAGAAGAAGCAATCAACAGGTCAGTGGGTCAGTACCACTTCCTTTTCTACCTCACAAAAATACAGCTTTCTAGCATCTAATCCTCCACTTCTTTGGACCTTTGGAGAAAGCTGTGAAAGATGGTAGCATCATCCTAGACAAATAAACCTCAAAACTTTTCAGACACGCAACAAGATCCATCCATCCATCCATTATCGATACACCGCTTAATCCTCACTAGGGTCATGGGGGGCTGGAGTCTATCACAGGGCTACACTGAGAGACAGACAACCAAGCACACTCACATTCACACCTACAGACAATTTAGAATCACCAATTAACCTCACAGGGATGCGAACCGGCGACCTTTGCTGCGAGGCAGCGGTGCTAACCACCGAGCCACCTTGCAGCCCCCTCAACATGATCCATTGTGGTACAAATGGGACAAAAAGAGGTACAGCCTTTGAGGTATTGATACGGGTCGTATGGAGTTGTCCTGAGGTGTGTGTTAGGCTTGTTTTGGCTCATCACACAGATGCACAATTAGACTGGGAGAGTTTGGAGACCAGGTCAATGCCATGGGCTCTTTGTCATGCTCCTCTAACCACCCCTGAGCAGATCCTATTGTGTGGCTGGGTGTATTGTGGTGCTGGGGAAGGCAACAGCCATGGGATACGTGTATACTAGCACATATATCACACATTTTAAACTTGCAGCTTGAATTGTTGTCATCATCAACTCACCTATTAACTTTGTCATAAATAAACTTTCAAGCAAAAATAATGCATTGAGCAAGTCTACTGCCACTATAGGTAAAGACAGTAAGCTGGCACGTTTCACAATCAGTGTCTAAAAGCTATTAATGATGCCTTGTGTTTGATATTTTCTGGTTTCAACATATCCACCTGTGTTACGAAATGTCGCCTCTTCAAAAATAAAACATTCACCAACTATAGATAACATATCTACAGTAGCTGCCGTTTTAGTAAATATACTTAAACTAATGCAGGCTAAAACAAAAACCTCATCCCCATGTTGTTAAAAAAGAGATGCACTTATTCAACTTCAGAGAAACGTCAGAGATTGTGATTTAGATCAGTGGTTCTCTAACTTTTTGAGCCACGACCCCCCCAAGATAACACAAGTTTGTATTCGTGACACCCCAGTTTGAATTTTTAATATGGCATGAGTAATAACTTTGGTGTTCATGCATTAAAAATTAATGTGTTAATTCCAAGGATTAATCTCTATACATTAACACTTTCATTTTCTTTTGAATGAATGAATGAACTGAATTTATTTCGAACAAATGAAAGGGAAAAAAAACATAAAAACAACAAGACAACGACAAACAAGTTCAAAAAAGGAGTGGGAAGAAGTATACACTTAAGTTTGACAGCCATAATACAAATTCATTTGATAAATGTAGGCTTGTTCTTTCTTTTTTGTTTTTTTCTTTTACAATGATCTGGTGACCCCCTTAAATTATCTTTGGACCCCCATGAGGGTCCCAACCCCCAGTTTGAGAACCACTGATTTAGATAACACTACAATGAGGTGTTTCTATGATTTTAGCCACCTCATATATATATAAAAATAAAATGTCTAAAAAGTTTAACAGTAATCTGACTAAAACTACAACGAACTAAATGTCCACTTTAAGGTCAGTTTCCTGGGTTTTCATTCGACTAAGACAATAAAGTTGACCCAATTCCACCCACTGAAGAAGGAAATGTTTTGTATGTAGAGGTAATTTACTATTTTAATTTCTCGTATTTAGTAAACGAACAGTTTTAGTTATGACTGTAAACGCTGTGCGTGTCATTTAAAGAAGTGAAGTTACTTCTTTTTTTATGACTAATGTGTACTTTGGGATGGAGCCCTCGACTCCTGATGTGTATTTTATATTTTGTTTGTCCGGTTTATGAGTCACCAGGACTGAATGACAGGCTTAAAAATTATGTAACAAATTCGCTTTTGGGCTAATAAAGTTATTTATATTATTAGAATTTAGAATTAAAAAGCCAGGGGACATTTTCCCAGCGCAGTTGTTGATGTTAGCTAACAGTTAGCTAACAATTAGCTAATGTCCAGTAGCAGCAGCAGTAGCTCCTGGAGGTAACAAGTTCAAAAAAGGAGTGGGAAGAAGTATACACTTAAATTTTGACAGCCCTAATACAAATTTATCTGATAAATGTAGGACTTTTTTTTGTTTTTTTTTTCTTACAATGATCTGGCGACCCCCTGAAATTTTCTTAGGACCCCCATGAGGGTCCCAAACCCCAGTTTGAGAACCACTGATTTAAATAACACTACAATGAGGAGTTTCTATGATTTTAGCCACCTCTTATGTAATAATAAAATGTCTAAAAAGTTTGAACAGTAATTTGACGAAAACTTAAGGTCTATTTCTTGGGTTTTTATTCGACTTTTATTCCCAAAGCAGGCTTTAATATTAGCTAACAGTTAGCTAACAATTAGCTAACGTCCAGTAGCCACAGCAGCAGTAGCCGTTAGCTCCCGGAGGTAACTTCAGGTGACTTTACCTGTCCGAGAGGAGACACTCCGCATCTATCCGACTCACAAACTCTTCCCACGGACTGCCTGAGCTTTGGGAAGCCCCGGAGCCAAAAGACGCCAGATTCAGAGTCTCGGAAACCTCCTGAAACCTGGACGCGAACCTGTTGAAGTCGATGTATCCGAGTTCGCTCGCGTCGAACTTGTCGAACAGAGTTTGGGTCTCGGCTTCGGGGACGCCGAGCTCCCGGCAGACCACCGTGAAGTCCTCGTACTCGATCGCACCGGACTTGTTCACGTCGCAGGCAGAGAAGAGCCTCCGGAGTTCAGCCATAGTTAGTGATTAAAAAAAAAAAACCATAACGTATAAAAAATGTTAAAACTTTAAAGCCCGGCTCTCCTCCCGGACTGACCGCAGCTGCGTAAACTAACAGCCTCTATCAGTCAAATGCGGGCGCACACCGGGGCTGCAGCTGATTGGTCCAGACATCAATGTGGGCGGGATGTCAGCCTAAATCAGTGTGCCACTTCCTACCTGGAGCTCCTGCAGGTTGGTAGTTATGATGCTTGGTGTGGAGGCTGGTGTCATGCATGTGTGCTGGGAAGCTGTCACAGTGCCTCTGTTTGCCTTTAAGGTGTGTGGAGCATGTGAGGGTTTTATCAGGTTCACTGCTCTTTGTTCATCTGGGTTTACAGAGTAGGCTTCTGGTTCCACCCTGAGATATTAAAACTGCAGGAAAATACACTTAAAAGCACTAAAATCTCAACATCCACCTGCATAAAATGAAATGTTTACCAACTGGAGATAACATTTATATTTACAGTGGTCCTCAAATGTGTTCACACCCTTCCATTAAAGAAAAGGCAAAATTCATAATAGTCACTTAAATAACTTGAAACTGAAAAAAGTAATAATAAATAAAAATTTGCTAAATTATAATGTAGTGAAATAAGACATTGCTTTTGAATTGTGGTTAAAAAGAATTCTTAAAAAAAAAAAAAGAAATCAGAGCACTTTGCTGATGAGCAGTGGACCAAAATCAAAATACCTGCCAACAGGTGCAGAAGTCTGATTGAGAGTTACAGAAAACACTTGATTGCAGTGATTGGCTCAAAGGGTTGTTCAAGAAAATATTAGTTTATAGGTCCTATCATGCCAGGTTGCTTGCTTTTTTAAATTAAAAATTTAAAAAAACATTTTTTTAGAAATATTTCAGTTGAACCACAATTCAAAAGCAATGTCATGATTTTAATTCATTTTTTATTTATTATTACTTTTTTCAGTTTCAGCTTATTTCAGTGACAGCTGTTTTTTTCCTTCTTTTATGGGAGGGTATGAATACATTTGAGGACGACTGTAGATACACCCAAGCAAAACTAATGCAGACTAAAATAAAAGCTAAAATAAAAAGGAGACCCACATATTCAAGTTCACAGGGTTTTAGAAAACACCACATTGAGAGGTGTTTCTACTATTTTATCCTTCAAGTTTATACTATTAAATAGGACTGTCTGAACAGCAGAGTAGATTTTGCAGGTATCTGTACTTTATGTGAGTATTAATTTTTCTGATGACTTTTTACTTTTACTCCCTACATTTGAACACAAATATCTGGACTTTCTACTCCTTACATTCTCTAAACTGGCTCGTTACTTGTTTCAACCTCCGTGGATGACGACATGACGTAACAACAAACGTCTTTATCTTTCCCAGCAGCGTGCCATTAGTCCCTGCAGCTCAACACACCACTGCCTGCCTCAGCTGCCTGCGAGAGGCTTTTCAGCACTGCAGGACTGATTTTCAGACCCAAAAGGACCCGTCTTCATTCAGAGAACTTTGAGAACCAGCTTCTGCTGAGACTCAATAAAAGATTTTGGTAGTCTTGAAGAGACGAGTGTTTCCATGTTGATTATTATGTTTAATGTTCATAATGTTGCTGAAATAGAAAACTGTCCAGTGATGTTTTTCTCTGTACCAGCACTGTGCAGGTTCTTAAAGGATGAAAACAATCCTATTTTGTGTGCTTAAAACTTTTTTTCATTTTTCAGAGTTATCAAAAGAGGCATCATGTATCATCGAAGCTAAAAATTCATTTTTACTTTTGTACTTAAGTAAATTTCTGAACCTGTACTTTTTTACTTTTACTTGAGTAAAGGAGTTGAATCAGTACTTCTACTTTTACCAGAGTCTATTTTTACACAAGTATCTCTACTTCTACTTAAGTGCCATCTCTGCTGAACAGCGGAAGACACGTTTTAGCTTCTTAAATCACGAGCCATTCAAATAATAAAAAAAAAAAATTATCCATTTTATCTTTATTTGAAAAATTAAAATAAAGTGCTTTTATATACAATACAAAAAAAGGAAACAAAAAAAAAACAGTAGTGATGTATGATACAAAAAAATACAATTCACAATATTTTTTACATTGGCAGCTGAATTTACAAAACAATTTTACATAAAAACTCGTTTACTTACAATATGACAAGAGTCTGAGCAACTTGTACTGTCACAAATAGAAGGCCTGACTATAGTGGTTTCATTAAGAGAGAGCAGACAACGATACTTCCACTGTGGCGTTAATAGTTTAGGCTTGTGGTCAAAAAAAAAAAATTGTTCAGTACCTGCACATATTTGACTAAAACACTGCCACTTTGTATTTGTTCTGCACTTAGCGGGTTTTTTTAAAATATTGTTCGGATGACAGCCGCTTCACCAAAAGCTGCCACTTTGTGTTGATGTGTTTAATAACAGTCAAAGCATGAGTCTTTCATACTGCATGATGTGATTATAGCTGACCAGTCTTTGAATTTCATTTCTGCAGTGCCATTTACAGGAACATAAATACTAATGCTTATATATAGAATTCATTATTTAAAAATAAAAAATAAAAAATAAATCAACCAGTGGTTATTTATGTACTACAGTTGAAGAATAAAATTTAGTCCCTGACTGAGGTTGAAGCCACCCTAACAAAAAAAATACAATAAAAAAAAAAACACCTCATGAGCACATATTGTACAACATTGACACTATTAAATTACATGTTTTCATGGTTGTCACGTGTTCCTAAGCATGGCCAGTCCTGTCACACCTACAGTGTAGCATTTGACTCTACAGCACTACTACCTGGTTAGTTTATCATCCCAAGAGGCACGTCTCTTGATTATTATTTCAGAAGGCATTATCCATTTTCCTCCTCCCCCCCCAAGGCAGATTTGTAATCAAATCCATTACCTGCAATGTAGTAAGGCTTTTTTAACATCATGTGCAAATCCCACGCATTCGGAGTCAAGTTGTATGCCTTCCCTTTACGTCGTGAAATCTCAATTTTACTGGCCGCGTCACAATATTAGAGCCAAACGATGTAAAAAAAAAATTATTGTGTGACATGAAAAATGCTTTCAAGTTATCACCTCGCTCAGAAATTTGGTGTAGTTTAGATTTCTGCATAAGGAGATGAGCTGTTTATTACTGGATGAAAGTTATTGCTGCTATGGTTGCCTTTGAAACCATTTAAGCAAGCAGAGGCTATTTTCTTCTATTCATTAACACTCATCAGTTAATATTAATATCAAAGGTGAGGCTATACAGGTGTGTGTTATTTAAATCGGATTATGAATAGGTGTAGTATTCTAATACATTTTTTTCTTCCCTTTTGAGGATAGATATTTAACACATTAAAGAATGACAATGAGAAATGCCTCTCTGCAAAGTAAACATTTGGCCACATAATCATAATAAATATTTATAACCTTTTCGCTGCAATAAATCAACCGCCACAGATTTACATCACCGCGCTGGAACCTCGTCTCTTATCGTCTGTTTTCGTCATGCCAGCCTTTCAGAGTTTCTTTATCTATCCTTCCTGTAAAAATGGCTAAAAAATCTCTTGCATACTTACAGTTAGTGTAATGAGTGAGTGTGTGTGTGTGTGTGGGTGTGTGTTTGCAGTGCCACAGATCCTAAAGCAATTAACAGCGCCAACACCTTTGTGCTTACTCAGTCTCAAGGTGAGGTTTTTCTCGGTGTTTACCTCACTTCACATTATTTGCTTTGCATAGGCTGCCTATCTCATGAAGAACAGCATGATAATACCTGGAATGGAGCTTTTCCCTCCTTTATCGCGTCGGGTGAAAGAAAACTCCTCCTCAGAGAAATATTTATAACCCAGTAACGATCGCAATACTTAGAATATTTGTATCTTCATCCGTGACTATATAATATTTTTCTTTCCTTGGTATGTAGTGATTGAGGTGGTAAGAGTTTCTGCACCATTTACACTGAGGTGATTCCTAGTTGTGTTTTCTACCACGTTATAAATCTCCTTGATCACGCTTTTCAATCTCTTCTTATTTTTTTTCTTGCTGTGTTATATTTGAAATCATACTCGTGTGAAACTGCGACAGGACTTTTTTTTTGTTTCTTGGCCGTCACTGACTTGTGTTAGTGTTTACCTTGCTACAGTACAGTACATAGTGCATAGCCTCAGCGAAGGGTAGACTCTTACCAGATGACAGAATGAAAATAAAACAGCAAACACTGTGTCAGCCGTGTCTGGCAATATGTTCACTCTGCGTTTCGGAGCATCGCCGGTATATATATATATATATATATATTATGGACGGACTGAGAAAGCAATGCTCTGAAATTCCATCTCTAAATCATGGTTGCGGTGCCACCTCTACGCTCGTTACATTCCCGTGAGCTGTGTGTGAAAGCGTCAAAAAAGTCTCTGAAGGCAAACTGGAACTTTTCCTCAGTGTGCTTCAAATGCACTTGAATAAGAGGGTGAGAGGAAAATAAAATGAAATGCACATGGACCACAGACGCAGAACGAAATAAAAGAAAAAAAAAAGAAGGAAAAAGACAAAGTGCAAAATCTGTGTAATGAAATGTCTGTCGGCGAGAGTGCTGCTCTTCCCTCTTATAATGTTTTGTCTTTCTCAACAAGTGCACTCTTTCCTTTGATTTCAAATTGAGTCACTCCATTTAAGATGAAGCCGGCCTCACACTATCGAGTCTTTAATCTCGGAGCCCAGTCTGACTCGTGGCCGTGGGCATGTGGGAGAGATCTCTACGTGGCTCTCTCTCAAGTTCAGAGGCCTCTTCTCCGACTCTGAGAAGCTCTTGCTGTTGTCGGGCGACGAGCACTCGTGCGGCGGAGTGCTGCAGATGTAGTTGTCATTAAGGGTCTGGTACCCCTTATGATCTGACACCGATGCTGTGACTGTGTTGCCGTTGAGAGGCAAGTTCTCAGCTGGTTTCCCCACTATTCGGGGTTTCTTCTGCTGCATGTTTGGGCACTCTCCCTCCTTGAGCATGGACTTCATGTGGTCGCGATTCCTGTACACCACAAACAGGGAGAAGACCACGAGAGAAAAGGCCAGGAGGGCGCACACCACGATCAGCTCGTTCCAGTAGGTCTTGGTGTTGATCTGAGGGGAGCGGGTCTCTCCTGGCAGGATGATAAAGTCTTCTTGGTGGATCTTAGGGGTGCGTGAGCGGCCCGTCAGGGTGGTGCTCTCCTGCTTGGCCTCGCCTCTCACACAGTAGTTAGCCAGCAGCTGTCTGAAGCCTTCCTCCACTGACCAGCACTCGTAGGTTTCCTGCTTGTCAGCTTGAGCCACCACCACCAGTCCCCCTTCTGGACTTGGGTAATGGAAGTGACCTGCGCTCTCGCTGAACTCCCACCTCCTTTCTGCCAAATTAGAGCGCAGCTTGCAAGGCAGCACTTTGAACGTGTTGGCTGGGATAATGATCACCTGGCACGACGACATTCCTGTCGAGAGGCAAAGCGGAGACAGATCGAGTCAGATATTGCATGAAATGAACTGCACCGCCTTATCTGGTGCAGAATTCATAATAATAACGGTTCGACACAATGAGCATATTTTAATCAACACTCAATTTGACAAGCAAGGCATGGAAGAAGTGAGTGCTGCTCGGTAAATCTCTGACAGGTTAGAGAAAGGGAGTTCACATACGTGTAGGTGGAGGTTTAGCAAACCGTGGGTTTGGCACAGTCTTGTTGCAAATAGCTGATGTGTCTGCTTCATCTACATCCTGCTGCCAGGCACTGAAACACATACACTTAATTAGAAAGTGCGATTTTAAATCTAATGTTTACGTATCTTAGAAAGCTTTAGTTGCTCAAATGTTTGTAGATTTGTGTGCAGGGGGATACATACTTGCTTGGCGGAGAACGCCTGACATCTACACACTGCCTCCCGTTCCAGCCACAGTAAGGATCCCTGGAGAGGACGCACTCCCCGCAGCTCTGATAATTAGTGCAGTTAGCTACCGGGACCTCCACCAGTTCAGAGAAAGAGGAAACATAAAGCTGACCCTGTGGAGGAGAGATGGCAAAGCAGGGGACAGACAGGAAATGCCCCAAATTCAGATACTAGGTTACCATTTTCATCTAAAGTCTTCCCTTTCTGACCCTCATCTAAATATAGCATACTTTCTTTCAAGCATTTTGAGAGGAATTTTTCACCCTGGTGTACAAATCTAAGCAAATACATGCCAGGATTCAGGATGTGTCACAAATCCAGCTGTTAAAACCCCAGCTGTTTGCAGATCCCCTGAGAGAAAGTTGCATGTAATTAGCTCATTAAACACGAGGTTTGCTTTAGGCTGTGACTCTTAATGGCTCATGGAATCCCTAAACTGCCAATAAATGAATTTACTGAGCTTATTAGCTCACACCACGAGAAAGCTCTGCAAATGTAATTGGACTGAATTTCTTTCTGAGCACTCCACTCTACCTTTTCAGTGTCCAGTTCAATGTGTTGCACCGGTTGGGCGTCGCGGAAGAGCACCATCTCCTCAATGATGTGCATCTTGTTGTTGACATTAATGGCTTTGTGGAGTCTCCCATCATCTAGAAAAGACACGGTTCAGCTTGAAATTAGATTACAGTCTTTGTGAATGTTGAGAAATGCGAGTTGTGTATACAGCAGGGTGACACAAAGGGGCCGATGATTGTGTTTGTGTGGTTTTTAGAGTGAGTGGGAAGTCCTTTACCTGTACCGATGAAGAGCACATTATAGGCCTTTTTAGCCGCCTGGACTCGATGGACAGCAATCTGAGTATAGCGAACATTGCGTTTCAAGAGAAGAGGCTGGCTGCGGATTACGCTGTCCATCAGGAAGTGGTCTTTGACAAAATTCAGGACCTTGTCTGGCATGTGCAGCGAGGAGGAGATGCCCTCTTCTCTGGCAGCGTTGGTGATACACTGTGGAGGCAAAACGTCACGTCACCTTTTCACATAGTGTACACTCCGCTCACACCGGATAATAACACCGACTGAGGTTGTACAGCACCTCTTTGTTTGTTTGTTTATTTGTATGTTTTTATATATTTCACAGATTCAGCTGCCAGGAAATGAAAGCCACAGCGGTTTGATAAGAATCATGTTATTTTAGAGTGGGGCTGGAGTGGCGCCAGCTTGACAGATATCTGCTCAAGCTTTGATCACCAGTCAAATTGAGGACATGACTGATGAGCAGACAGGAACATCTGAAACCCCTCATGGAGCTGATAAGACATGCTGCTGTGTGCTGTCATGTATGTGTCTGCGGCTTCTCCAGCAGAGGGCAGCAGGCGAGCACTCACCGCTCCAGGCCGAGGCTCTGGGACCGCATGGTTGAACGTGTACCACTGTTGAGTCTCTCGGTTGACTTCACGATATCGCCCGTTGAAAGCCTTTTCCACCTGCTCCATAGTGAAGGAGCACACTGCAGAGCTTCCCGATGCTCCCTTGTACCTTTATAAGACATAAGCAAGAATCTCAACAACACTGACTCATAGTTTGTTTTATTTAATTGAAATAATATAGAACATTTTGAATGTAAATGAGTCTAAATTCCCCCAGAAGAACCCCATAGCTCAGAAGAGTTTTGAAAGAAATCACCAAATGTCATGTTTTATTTCATGAATGAACTGTTTAAATAAATTTCTAATTTCTCCTCCCTCCTGGACATCTCACTTTAAATCTGTTAAACTTTCATGAACACTGCCATGTATGTGTGTGAGGAACTATCTTTAAAAATATATTGTCTAAAAAATATATCAGAATCAGCCTTAAAGACCCCCTTTTGTAAGCATCAAGTTTCTTTTCTTTTTTTTTCTTACCTTGTTAACATGTTTAAATGGTATTTGTCATATGCTATAAGACATATGACTATAAAAAGTAGTGGCATGGCAGAGCACTTCTGCATTGTTTGAGCAGAGTTGTAGGTGAGCTGGTGTGCTCGAGCTGATGTCGAGCTTGATTTGCACATTTTAGAGGAAACGATGTAAAGTTACATCCATGCCACTTTAAGGCAGTAGGCGCTGTTTTCATTTAAATATATATACAAAGATATAGAAATATAAGAATATATTATAAGTTAGTTTTTTTTTTATACACAGAGATCAGTTTTAGGGTTTTATTGAGTGACTGGAGAGAGATTATAGAAAACCCAGCGAGTGCATATAACCGCATCTGGCAAATTCCCAAAAACATTTTAGAGAAGCCTTGTGTTCTCTGAAGTGAATATGGCCAGACTTTGGTTTTGATCACATTTTATACTATACCCTATTCAAAGAGACATTTATTTAAGACTCACATGTCTTTACGGTATCAAAACATGCAGTTGGTAATGTGCTAAAGTCAAAGTTGGTTCTCACCACTGAGATGTGAACACTCCATAAAACACAGTGTTCTTCCAGTCCTCCGGGTTGGGCGTGAGCACAAACATGTCTTGGATTATGTTGAAAGGGAAGCCATCGTCAGGCAGCGAGCACAAGAGCTGAGCCTTCAGGAAAGTCGTCCATTTCTTCTGCAGCACCCTCTCACCTCCGATGTCACCCTGCAACACAATTATTTTGGGGTTGGAGCCTTTTCAACTTGAGAGCAGTGGAGGTTGCAACAATCTAACACTGACACCTGTGGTTACTCACAATTCCTCGGCACAGTTTGATTCACAAGTGTGATTTAGTGGGATCTGACAGGCCTGTGTGGCTGACATCATGAAACTATGATATGCACCATACAACACAGTGCAGATTGTACATCAGATGATTTTAGAAAAAGAATTCTGTCATCTTTATTTACCTCCTTCATGTCAAAAACAGAAAGAAAGCGCCGTGTCCAAAGGTAAAGCTGTTTAAATTGATGTAATTGAAAGCATTAACCTCCTATAGTAAAACCATAATGAGCTAAGTCAATTGTGCCGGCAACACAGATATACCCCGAGGCAGCAGACTTCTAGGTCATGAAAACAATATACATCATCACAACTGGCATAGATAAAAAACACTCGGGGCTTAGAGGAGGGCAAATGCTTTTAAATGAAAAAGAAAAAGAAGCAATGCTCCCCGACAATCCTTCTTCACTGACACTACCGCTGTGATTCAGCGCCTTTGGCACAAGCCTTCAAAAGGCTACGAGTGGCACGGGGCCTCCTTGACATGCAGACTAATTTGGCTACGCAGATTTTATGATAAGATATCGGCACAAGTTAGAGGGCAACTGCATCTTTAAGCCTCAGCGTGGAAGTGATTTAGAGTGATTTACAGTGACTGTTTAACAAATTATATTCCACAAAGATTTGCAGGTCTCAGGAAGGTGGCTATAGATGAAGAGCTAAACCAAAGAGCTTACGTAGGTTTTTTACAAAGACACGGTGTTTAAAGAGAGGATGACCACAAAGTCTGTTTATCATGGAGCTAACAAGATGAAAGGTAGCTGTTGTAAGCAGTTTTCAGAGACCAAAGAGAAACACTAAATGATCTAAAGTATCTAAAATCCTTTAACATTAAGCTTTAATTGCGTCCACTTTAGTATTACATTAATCAGAGGAAATGGCAGCAGCGGACGGGAAGGGAAATGACACATGACCAATACTGAGCTTCTGAAGCAATTACTTATTGTAGTAACCCAGGCAGATAATGAGCAACATAGATATTCCCTGGTCCTTCTGGCTGAACCTAGTTTTATAATTCAATGCCACTGTGAGCTTAAACTGACTTCTGAATAATTGAAGCAAATGCATCCCATTCATTAATCTGCTGTAAAAGCATCCCTTGTTCAAAAGGCTGTTCAAAAAGCCATGAACATGGCAGCCAGTAATGGCTTCTTTCCGGGAAACGAAACAATGCTGCAAATGAGAACATGCTTTGTTTTGTTTGTTTGCGGCAAAACATTGTTTACCATTCCATAGTTAGCCTCCATGAAGTGGGATCTGTGTACTAAACACCTGAATATACAACAGAGATGGGAGCTGCAGCTGACACAGTGAGTCAAACAGGATTCAGAGACATGAGGAGAAAGACTGGACTTACATCGTTTGTTTGAACTATAATATTACCAAAAGCAATGATACCATCTACTTACTGAGCCTCATTTTAAAGCTTCATTATTTTTGAACATTTTACACTTGTTTTTTGCTCTGGAAGCACACTCCCAATAGCTGACACAGTATTGCTGATTTCCTTTTGGGTCATCTGTGCCAAGAAGACTTTATATCCAGCACAGATTTTTAACTGTATGTGAGAAAACCCATCATCAGTGTGCTACATGAGTCAGTGTTTGTAGAACTGTAACCTGAAATGTTTGTTTTAAACTAAATGTATGGAAAAACTGAGTAGACAACTGCATGGTGATTATAAAAATAATCATAAGCAGTGTCCGACTGTGAAACAGCCCCGTGTGATTCACAGCTGGGCTTCCTACGGCACCACCTCACACTGTCAGCTCGTGTTTTCCATTCCCCTCAGTGATAAACGTGATTGTTTTCAAAGAGACAAGCAGCAGTGTGATCTGGAGAACCGGCTCGGTTGTTGCATTATTAATATTGAGAAAACCCTAAAAATAATGAACAAATACAGCGTGAGGTTGGCATTTTAGTTTCAAAGGCTTGAAGCATTGCAGCAGGTGATAAACCTTTTTTTTGCACACAGATCTTGAGCTACAGTAATCCCAAGCCATTTTTAGTTGGCTACAGAATCCTGTTTGAGCACAAATATTTGGTGAAACATGATAAGAATCTAGAGAGAGGATTTGGAGTAAAAGAATCAAACAGGGAGAAACGTGCAGAAGAAATGTTATTCTGTACCAGGAGCTCCTGCGTCACTGCCCAGAAGGACTGTGAGCTATACAAGACGTATTTGAGCTGTAAGCAGCTTTCAGAAGACTACCTACATGCCTCTATAGGAGCAAGCGCTGAGCACAAACGCACATGAAATGCACAAACACACAAATAAACCCCTTTCCTGGTTTGATAGATTCCTATAGAGATGGTGGGGGTAGATGTTGCTCAAGGGTAAAAAAAAAAAAAAAGCCTCTTTAGATGGACTATCTGCCTTCAAGCATCACTCACCTTACACACGCGAGCAATGCGTGACACAATGGTGTTGTCAAAGAAATCAAACTCCTTCCCTGCTTCGCTGAAGAAGAAGTAAATCTTATCATCATCGCCCACTGGGTTACCCTTGGGCAGACTCTCCTGTATGTAGGCAGAGCCAACAAAGGCTGGATCTGAAAGGAAACCAACAATACTGTCACACTGGGATCAAGGACAGACGTCCCTATTCCCTCCGACATCAGCGCACTAAATGGAGTCCAGCTGTAACAAGGGCTGACAGATTGCAGGTAAACACTTTTCATATACAAAATCTCGAATGGTTTGGCACGAATGTCATTTTTCGATATACGATGTGATGTTAAATAATATATCTAATTTTGATCAAGTGCAGACATATTGAAAGTCATTGCCTTCCAGCCAGAGCGCTGTACCTTGGAGCCAGTTGAGTGAGTTTTCTGTTTTTAGCGCAGTTCCTTGGCTTAGACTCTTGTAAATGATGGGTTCATTTCCTTGGAAATTACTGACTGTACCGGCATACAGCTCTCCATCTGCAACACAGTGAAGAAGACCAGCATAATCACAGTACTTATCACAAGGGAACGGGCTTCTGCGTCATACACAGTAATGAAATCCAAAGGTTATGCCCCAGTTTGTCTCTATATCAACCACATGCGCCTTGCTATACTTTACTGATCCCCACAGTGGCTTCCATAAATCAGAACATTTAACAAAGCCCGATTTTTATCATCAGCTGACAGCCATTGTGAGACCTACCAGCCATGATGGCAGTGGACTTGTATTCAGGGTTGAATGGGCAGCGGCTCCGTCCATCCTCTGTAACAATCTCACCGGTATCACTCTTGACAAGGGAGAAGTCTGCGGTGTTCTGGAGGAAACACACACACCACATGTCACATGCTCAGTGGAAAAACTAGAGCTGTAACCTGCTCCGACAGTGACCTCAGTGGAAAGGTGGGCAGTGAGTCGGAGTCGAAGTTGAAGCGCGGGTCAGCTGTGTTTGTTTGTTATGGATTGTTGTAAAAGGCCTTTAAAGATTTGTAGAAAAGGATTAAAAACCAGTCTGATTCTGATATAATCCGATTGCATGCATCAAATATTTTGATCCATTTCCCATGGGCACAGGAGATAATAAAATTATGCACTTATATTGTATCTAGCTGGGTAGAGCCTCCGCCAGACTGCTAAGTGAGTTGAGCGGCAGGAAGCAACATGCATCAGATCTCTTCCTCTAGAATCTAATAACCAAAGCAGATACAAAGTCCTGCACAAGGGGTAATCAATTTTTCTTTACGGAAAAAAAAGGAAAGACACAAGGCACTGTTTTTGAGATCCTCATGAAACAAGACATGTAAGTACAGAGAGCGCAACAACATGTTTCATGCGAACACTTACTATGTAAGCGCAGATGGGGCTGAAGGCGTACGTTCCACACACGTACAGATGAGTGCTGTTCATACGTAGTAAAATCTTGATGTAGTTGAAGCAATCCGTCTGTATCGGAAACAGAGATGCGGTTAGTGACGAGGCTGTATGTATTTAAAAACTGACAAGGTCTGGATTTGATCAGTTTTACCAAACAGATTTTTTTCAAAGTGCTTTTTCATCCCACTAACCAAAAGTCATTTTACTGCCTGTCTTGAGGCATTGGAGTTTATAGAAGCCTATTAGAAAGTGAAGATTAAAGTGTGAGAAAACACACACGCACACAAATGATCTGCAGATGCACCAGTAGTTTACAGAATTGTCAAATGAGGGTTGGCACTGAAAATAAAATAAAAAAACAGGTTCCTTCTGCTAATGTGTTTCCATTTACCAAAGGTTGCAGGTCTGTATGTTTAAGTGGAGGTGGAGCAGGCTGACAAAAGGAGGAGTGTAATAGAGGAAAAGTGTGTTTGAAAGCAAAGGAAAAATCCATTGTGGTAAGATGGAAAGTTACAACTTGACAGGAAATGTCCAGGGTTCTGCCCTGCGTCTGTTTCCCATAATGGTCAACTTAACCAACGAGGCAAACCTGCAGTTATGTAAATAATGTTTCAGCCATGCGAGTTCAGCTACTTGCCTGCAGGTCTTTGCCTTTGAAACTGCACTCGTCTCTCTTCTTCTCTGGAGTTTTCCATGTGAGCTGCAGGAAAGAAACACCGTCAGACTCCACTGTAGGTATGATACGCTGAGGTGTGTTATATTGGTCTCCTGGGATCATATCATATTTATTACCATATTAATATAGTACCTCTGGGATCCTATTATAACTACATTCATATTGATACAGTATATATATGGTATTGCAGTTTAGAGGCACACTGGCTCTTACGTTTCTTTGCAGCCTGACTGCGCTGATATCAGAGAGGTTGAGAGCGTAAAGAACCTCCCGAGCGCCGACATACAGCATGTTGTCTTCGCTGCTGAGAAGGAGGGACGTGTAGTTGAAAACCCCGCTGACTGAGAAACCTCTGGTCGTCCTCTCCCTCGCATCTAGACAGGAACAGACACAGAAGATGATTTAATTCATTAATTAATCCGTCCAGTTTGCACAGAGGGTGTCATTCAGCACATTATAAAGCTTCAAAACAATTACATGCTGTTGAAGATAGAAAAACGACTACAGGTACTTGAATATGCAAATAAATGCATTTTGAAGATGTTCTTGCGTGTGCTCACAATATTGATGAACAGCACAGATACAATGCTGATGCTCTGTCTTAATCAAACACACTCTGTCAACCCTGACAAGCCTTGCTGAGCCGCTTTTCTCATTCTTATGACAACTACACTGATGAGAAACTTTTTGTGTCTTAATGTTGACGAAGCGCCGTGACTTGAATTTTTTTTTTTTTTAAATGCATAAATTGTCTTAAATATCATCTACCTATGCACGGGTATTTTTGACACTATCAGACAGCACACAGCAGAGCTGCCAGGGAGAATGAGAAGAGCAAGAAAGAAGACGTATTAGAAAGTCCAAGTCAAACTCTACACTGTTAAAAAAAAAAAAAAAAGTAAAAAAAAAAAACAACACAACGACAATCTGGCAGCAAGGGTAACAGAAAATATACAATAAAAGGGTGGAATACTGAAAAAATAAATAAATAAATATCACATTTTAGAAAATTTAAATACAATAAAACTTTAATTGTACAGTCACATATTGTAAAATAATAAATTACTTTTTGGAAAATTACAGATTTTAAATTAGGACATTCTTTTAAAATCAAAATGTAAATTAATAGGATTTTTCTGCAATTTTATTAGATATTATTCATCATTAAACAAAAAAAAGGAAAATCTGTAAATTAACAGTTAAAAAAAATAATTAATAGTTAACTAATAGTAAAAAATAGTTTAAAAAAATAGCTATCCTTAATGCCCATACTTTTTCTTTTAAATAAATACAAATATCTAGAAAATAATATTTTAATTAACTGCTTTAAATAAGGTAAATAAAAAAAATCATGTAATTTTACAGTCAAATGTAAAAAAATTAATTGCAGTTATATATATATATTGTCTTCTTTACATTTAACATGTTAATACATTTTTTTTCCCTACAATTTTACCAATTGTTATGTGTCATCTAACATAACTGGTAAAATCTGTAAAATACCAGCAAATTGTTAAAAATACATTACAATTGAAAACTGTTTTGTTTTAATTTTTTTTTTAACAGTGATATTGTGACTACGTGGTCACATCTTGGGCTTTTAGCCACCAGGATGCTACCAGGAATAACTGAACTTTGACTTTGTAGGCAAGTGTACCTGCTAGATAAGATCGACAGAAACAAATAATTTGAGCCACTGTTTTTTCAGGTGCATGTGATACACCTGGGGAAAAAAAGTTCATTACTAAAAATGAACACATTTCTTTGTGTGCAACTGCAGCTTCAGAACTCTAGCTGCTCCTCATCACAGAAAGATAAAGTCCTCATAATTCTCCCTCTGTTCAGTACAGTAAGTGAGCGAATGGCTTTGTTCCAACTAAATTAACACCTCCTGACTTAAGCCAAGGGTTAAATCATCGTCTCTGCTAATCACTGCTTTAAAGGCCCATGTGTATCTCCCAGTTGGAGCAGTCTGGAGGCCTTCACTGGCAGCCCAACTTGAACAACTTGCCTTAATTGCGTGCCAGCACAAACAGAGGCAGGGAGCTGATGGAAACTTGAAATGACTGAAGCTCTGATACAGGACTTCTGCCCTGAAATGTGACGAATGAGGAAAGAATAACAGACCACAGAAGTCCATTTATTTAACTGAGGAAGGTCCTTTAGCACAGCGATGTGAGTTCATGTTCATAGAAGAATGTTGTTCTCTGTGATAAATCTTTAAACTGCTGCTGTAAGGGACTGTACAAAAAAAATTAGAGGTGGGAAGCGAGGCTGAACATGATGTTTTACTTTTGAAAAAAAAGCAAGGCCTCATGGTAATATTTTCTCTGGACCCTCTTTTCGAAAACACTCTTATTACAATATTAAAAGCAATAAAACAATACTGAATGGTTCACCTAATACCTTCATTAATATAAAAACAAATATATGAAAGATAAGATGAAACCCCATAGTTTAAGGGATTTCTTTAAGGAACAATTATTTTCACATCGTTACAAATTCAGACAATAAAGAACATTATTTTGAAAAGTTGGATTTAAAACTTGATTAGTACATTTTATAATGGAGGAGAAATGTGCTCAAAATCCACAAAACGCTGCGAAAAACATCCCCAACAAAAACACAAACAAGAATAAAAGCAGAGACACTGAGTTAAACGCTCTCCAAACAACATATAACAACATATATGAGCTCTCATACAAAGAGAGGCGTGCTACGACTGTCTGCACCACAACTCCTCTGGGACACTAGGCGGAGTGATGGGCTCGATTTGGATAAGCAGCAACATTACAGACAGACGGGCTCAAAGCGGCTCTGATTTATATCCCTGGATTGCTATTATGTCCCTTTACTAAGTTTTGATGTTTTCTAGATGTGAAAATAACCATTTAGATTTGGAATAAGTGGCCAGTTTATCCCAATAATGCCTGTTTTCAAATCTGCGACAGAGGCGAGGAGCCCACCTGCATATTTCCCGTCTATGAACCGACACAACGTAACGCTTTATGATATCAAGACAAAGTCAGCTCAGGTTTACTGCTGTCGGTTGACCTTGTGAGTCATTGTTTTTTTTTTTTTTACTGCTCAAACTTCGACCAATGGCAGGCGTAATAGAGGGAAACTGGATTGAAGCCACAGATGCTGGTGGTAATAATTAAAATTATAGCACTTCCCTGCATTAAACCTTATTCAGTCCAGGTAGAGTCATTAAGTCCTACTGATAATAAGCTCACTATGTGCTCCATGCCCTCCAGTACATGTGACCTAATATAACCTCACCTCAGTGGGAAGGTGCAGGAGGTTGGAGGACTTCCTCTCCCTCGGGGAAACAACATGTTAATAGCAGTCCATCGCCACGGCAACACTGAGCCATATTGTAGTTAAATCTGTCCGTAAAACCACAAGAGGCTCGGCTCTGCGTACTGTACATGGACCCACTGGGGCCGTTCTCTTTCCTTTTCACTATCATTACAGGATAAATGGACTGCTGTTCCATGCTGGTTCTGTTCCCCCCCCTCAAGTTTTTTTTTTTTCCTCCCCACAGAGCCTTGGGCAAATTTAACTGTGATTTACGGAGAGAGAAAGACAAAAGGCCAAAGCCAGAACCAAAACAAAAGCTTTGAGCGGATTTTAACAGAGGAGGATATCTACACAATTATTCTCTGGAGTCACATCACCGCTGTCATACTTAGCAACCACAGTTGACAAAAAGAAACAATAGGGCCCCCAATTGAGTATCATTAAGGATATCCAAGAGGGTTTTGAAACCGTACGAAGCTTCCCGTTCGTGATTTCAAGAAAACAGTCATCTTTCAGTGTAGACCAATTGGTTCGACAATGCTTTATTTCTCTGAGGAGTAGGTAATTGTTAAATGGTACAATTTAATGTTATGTTTTGTCCGTGTGCTTCTCAGAAAGGTATGCAACAAACAAAAGGCTGGATGGTCTGAAAATTACATGTTCAGATTCCAGTAAGACGTTTAAAGCCGTGTAAGTTCATTTTAGGGTCTTTAATTTTGTTGTTTTGATTTGACAGCTTGCAATGTTAGCTAATCGGAAAAGGACTCAAGATATGTCCCTGAGGAGTTGGTGGGGACCAAAACAGAGCTAAAAGGAGATTAAATATTGAACTTGAATTCATAAAGGGGTCAGAAATGCAACTCAAAACCAATACTGATGTTATACTGTCTCGGCTGGACTTAAGAACTTAATAAGACAGAACTGTAAGTTGACTAGAGACGCACCAATAAGAGATTTAGAGGGTAACACAAAGAAAAGAACCTTCGTTAAACTATCAGAGGAACTGGGATAGTTGTAACCTTTAGTTTAAATGTGCCTCTACTCTAAAAACGATCTGAATTATATGAAGTAAGGATTTTCAACTAGATGTATTTAAATAAAAAAGTTGATTAAATGATTCGCTGAAAAAATAAGGAGCCAAAAATGTTGATGATTGATAATCAGTTCACACTCACTGGTTCCAGCTTCTCAAACAGGAGAATTTACTTGGATTTTTGATCAAACCAAACAAGAAACTGACAGACATCACCTTCAACTCAGTGAAATTCTATTTTTCCAGAGTGTCCTGTCATTATAGGCATCATTACGAGAAAAATAATACATTTAGTGAGGAGCGATAACTGTTCCAGGCCTACAAATGATGATGTACTTGAACTGATTCTTAGACGTTCTGGACGTGAGCAGCAGTCATAAAAACAGCAACACGGTCTTCAGACCACAAAACCGGAGCAGAATAAACCCACAGGTCGACCGCTGCGCAGACTGTTACCCCAAAACCAACATGGCGAGCTAATGAGTGCATCGTACTTGAACCCGTCCTCCCCTGCGCTCCACATACGCCGCAGTCTCTTAAAGAATCCCCTCTATTGTTGTTTGACTGTCTGAGGTTGATTCCTGACGGGTCACTTCATGACAATGCAGCCCCAGAAATGTTGTGGTGTTCACAACAGGGGAGAGGGAAGACACAAGGAGTTCAAAGGAAGCACTTAAGAGTGGAAGTAGAGACAGAGAGGGCAGAAGTGCCCACTGAAGAGGCGCAACAGAATCATACCACAGTTCATCCTTGTCCATCTTTCTTTCCTACGAGAGCCACTGGGAAAAGATCCATAAAGAATAGATGCTTTGAAGTGCATGTCTGCATTGAAGGGGTTTATTCTTAGGGCGCATTTAGATTGAAGTGGTTCCAATCAAGATACTACATGCTTTTTACAGAGACCATTCAGTATTTGAGTTGACTGATTGATAATTTATTCTGCTGAAAGAGCTCAAGAGACTTAGAGAATCTATGTAAAGACACATCTTCTTTATGGTAGTTTTTTTCCTTTACGTCATCAATTTATATCTTTTGACT